ACGACAACCTTACTCGCCATTGGTCACACAATGTCGAGTGATGACAACCCTGGCAATAATGGCACTGGGGCGTTGGCTTGGTGAGAGAAATTATATATATTGAGTCTTCCCGCGGTAATCTATCACTGTCACTATAGCTATCACTTCGCGTGGATTTAGTCGTATTGCCGATAGTCACATTTAGGGTAATATGTCATATATTTTGTCACAACAATTCTCTGGCAATTGATCTAGAAATGGGAAATCATTAATAATCATAATTCATCCTATATTTCTATGAGTCAAATTGTAGAAATTGTCTAACAGGGGTTGAAAAGTCCCCGCCAGCGCCAAGGCGGCTCGTGGAAATATGTTAACCCTGTTATTGCATATTAAAAAGGTAGTAACACCAAGGATGTGAATCCCTTACCTGTATCTGTGCAGCTACACCGATCCATGTCTCCGTGGATTCATGTAGCAACATAAAGACCTTCAGAAAAACGCGGGAGTGACCAACAAGTCCACGGGCGCGTGAACCACCTGACCGTCCAGCGAGGGTCACCTGACCCCCAGTCCGGCAACGTGGCCCGCTGTCCATCCACATTTTGTCCTCCGCGTTCTACTTACTGGGAGAGAAAGAGAACTCCTTGCACTCAAGTCGAGCGTTAGATCGAACAATAACTGAGGAATATAGCTTCCTCTGTGACGTGACGTAACTGGCCTCCGTTTATGCCATTGGTCAATATGCTACAATGCTGGACCTCGTAGAGAATGGATACCATTCTGACCGCCTTCACTCTAGAAAATGAGGATCCGCGGCGGCCTAGGTGACGTAGGCTACGGAAACTGTCAGGAACTTTGATCCTTATCAGAAAGCAGTGCGTCCTACCGCCTGACACTCTAAGACAAAACTTGGTCCCCAAATCTTGATTAACTGTTGGCGCTACCGGTGCCCACGGCATCAAGATGGACCTTCCCAAGTTAATAATGAACGCGGCCTCAGCACGAGCAATCGCAGGTTGCCACAAAGGTGCATATTTTGTGATTAGGCATAATAACGAGAACATCTGTCTCCTGCTCGGCTTGGGTAGGCCTACCTCGTGATCACATGCTCCGCTAGTCACATACCTCCGCAGTCCACTCTTGTCCACTACAATTCGTGTTATCACCGACGCCAGGACCGTCATTTTCCTGTCCGCCGGTGCGTGAGGCACGGCGACGCGAAATTTCCTTCGCCCCGGCCCTTTCACATGTACAATCTTAATAACAGGGTCGATAGCGTTTCTGTCAAAGCGCCACTCCGTGACGTGTTCACCTCTTCATTAAAGTGTACAATCGGAGCGTGACGACTCCGGATGTGAGGAATGATAGCACCTGTAATTATTCATGTTCCCCTGATGTGGCGGAAATGACAAATTTGAGAGGTGGATGCATGGAGAGAATAGGAGAGGACACGGTCACCGTTTTACCGTCTTATCTATGTATTTTGAATCACGTGAAATGGCTAATTCAAATACTTGTCGTGTTTGAAAATATGTCAAAGGTATTATGTCTGCATTAAAATTTTTCATAAGTATTATTTTCTACGTGTGCTAATTTTTTCAAAATTCAGACCCTAAAAACCATAAAATCCATCACGTATTAGTACCTGGCATCAATAAGTTCCTTTGATATGTATTATACAGGAAGGCTTGGCGTTATAAATGGCTGGTCAGTCATTTAACACTAATTATGGAATAAAACATCAAATCCAAGTACAGGGACGGGTGGAGTTACGACTCGTGAGTAGGAGAAAATTGCCCTGTTCCTGAAAAAATCTCGTTTTGGCGGTTAAATTCCGTATAGAGTACCTTGAACTCTTACTTATCTCCGACACGGAGTTTGTATCGCTAGACAAATCAGGAGTCTTGTTACGGTTCAAGTTACGATGTCGTTCTTATTTTCTTTCACTTCTTTTCTTTCTTTTTTTTTCTTTCTCTGCTATTCTTATAGGTGTAGGAGGAAGGGGGGATCGACCAGAAGGTCGTCAGAAATTTATTCACTCACCCATTTACGTATCATCTTTATCATTATATTTCAATTCGTAGCAAAACTTTCAGCTTATTAACAAGGTGTTGTGATCATGTCTGATGTGATGTGTGGAAACGGTCATTCTGGTCGTGAGATTGTCCACATAGTTTGTTGTACACTCCCATGAGAATTGAGGTGAAAAGGGTCTGGGAGAAGGAATAACCTGACCACGTATCCACGCGTTCTCGTCAGCTAAGACAACGCTGTGAACTTTCAGATATTGAATTTTAGCCTTTTTCTTACTCCCTTGACATTAACCTACTGTATGTATAGATGTTACGCCCCCAGGAGTCCTAGGGTAGAAGGCACTTAGTAGGTGTTTGGAGTCACGCGGCCCCCTCCGGCATAGCGTCTCTTCTGAACATGTGATTTCCACTGTTAAGATATCTTGCCTCACACGAGATGACACTAGATGCCGTCCCCACCTCCAGCTGGTACGCTGGGGGGTAGGTCTCACCTTCACGTGTCCGAGTGGCCAGTTAGAGGTGTTGCAGATGGACAAAGCATTCGTCTAATACCAGTGCGTTGAGTCTCGGTATTAAAAACAGTTGTGTATAATTTACAAAGGTCGTACATGTACACTACCGGCTTAGTCCATTTCAATTGAAAAAGAAAATCAATAAATATTTTAATTGTTTATCTGTTATCGGTTCACCTTATTCCAACTTAATTAACTAATTTAATCAAAATACTTAACAGTTATAAACGCTCGCTCAAACTTTCAAAAGCAGTAGATTTTTAGTTTACCTTGACAAGAGAAGTCAGTATTAAGCGACTTCAGCCAGAATATTGAGCTTGTTTTTACAAAAAGATAAACATAGATTTTTATAGCTTCTGTTTACCCGGGTTACTGCAGATTTTTTTTTCTTGAATGAAGATCAAAAATTTTCGTATTCAAAGTGAAAGCCAACGTTACAGTTAAACTCTTTAAGAAATCGAGTTTAAGTGGCGGATTTCTGTAAACGAATTCATTCGGGAAATTATCCAATCCCATACAATTGTCTTATTAGACCTTTGAATGCTAGAAGCCAGCGGGAAAATTGTTAGATTTCGTATAGATTTCAAACATATCAGCTTTGAATCGAAATAACGCTTTGTGACTTTCAGTTTATTGTGATATTCTCGAGGAAGCGTGTATAATATAAACTATCAGGAGTGCCTAGACATTTAACTTCTCCCTTTCCAAGTTGCCCGGGCAATACAAGTCAAAAATATATATATTTTTTCATATATTCTCAATAATTCAATTTATTTATTTGTACTTACTCATGCTTGAGTATGACTGTGTAGTTTTGTTTTTCATCTAGCTCTAAAGAAAAGTCAATTGTTGTATCGCATTGCTAAAAAAACTTTCAGTTTTCATTTTTACTTTTTTTTTGACGTTGTGTATTGCAAATAATTTATAATATGCAGTAATATGGAGTATTTCACTTGTGCAACAACGACAGGGATGTTCTAGCTTTTTCATGGAAACTTTTAAAACCAGCTTAATCTGATTCACTTGCACCTTTGATTGTACTCTTGCAATAAATTAGTCAAACAGAAATTCTGTAGCGGTCTTTGATTTGAAATTTTAGTTTTACTTATTCAGGGCTACGATGCCATTTTGTGACTCTCTCTCTCTCTCACACTTCTTAATAAACAGGAAACATTCTCCCTTTTCACTGGGAAAAATATATTATTTTGATAAATTAAGAATTTAAGAAAGAAAGAAGTAACAACTTAAATGCCGTTATGCCGTTGAGCTCTTTCTGTGATTTTTTAATGCAAGCAATTTTTATCTAAATGTATTTCCTATGATGGGAAATTCGTTATCATGCCCAAATTTTAAACATTTTCTCCGATTACGTTCCAGGAATGCTGGACCATCAGTCGGTATATAAGTGACTGAAACTTAGAATGAAAAATAAGAAATATCAGTTAAGAAATCAGGACTTAAAATTTAGACAAAACATCATAGTACTATGAGAGAGAGAGAATATAAACTGAAAAACTGAGGAATGTCTTCATACGTCAGCTTGGTCACTTTTGCTCAAGAAAATCATGAGTCGGATGATGCCGAGTTTTGGTTTAGGACAGTATTGGGCCCACCTTCTCTTAATGAAAACGAAAAATTCCACATTAAGTAGTCACGTGGTTCTTTAACGTATACATTCATAATCTATTTCATAAAACAATTTGGGTAAATGGTTTGTGTTTTGTAAAGAACAAAAAATTCAAATTGTCTCTAACGCACTCTTACGGAAGGGAATTTTCGATTGTGATCCGGTGCACAACCGGCACAACTAGCACAATGCACCGTGACACCCACCTTATCGTCTAGTAAAACGGGTAGAATCTGTTAATCGTTTATCTTATTTAAACTGAAGTAAAATGGGGACATTTTCAATCTAAAAGTTTAAACCGACGTTTGTTCCCTAGTTAATTTGTGAAACCGACCTCTGGATAGATGGATAACTCTACATGGTCACACCACTCTCCCTGACAACAGTATTTGCCTTCAAAGTTACAAATGATTAAACGACCTCAGTATACTTCAGGTGTTCTTTCCAGGTAGAAATAGGGCATTGTGGAAGTACGTTCAGGTTGCGCCTCATGGTTGACTTAATGTATATGCACAAGTCAGTCAAATGGTAAAATATAGATACGAAGTTAGTTAGTTCTTTATGAACTGAATACGGTGGGTGTACCTGGAGATTTTAATCAGGAAGTTGAATGTTAGAAAATTATATTTTACATTGTTCACGTAGTGCTTAAATTGATGTGCGCGCTGTTGCGATCAAATGCAAGTATGTAAGTTGTGTGTATGTGTATGTGTGTAGTTGTCTGTGCGGGAGTAGGTGTGTGTGTGTGTGTGTGTGTGCGTACGTGCGTATGTAAGCGCGTGCTGGGATGAGAGAAGGAGTGGTGGTGACAGGAGGCAAAATTGGGAGTGTCAACAAAGTCGACACTTATCAAGGCCTTACAACTGTAATCACTGGCTGGGCAAACAAATCAAGTTTCTCGTATCGGTGAACCTCGGTCTGCTGTAGGAGATATGGAACGTAGGCCTACTGTGTCCTTATAAATGTTCAGAATAAGCCAGAACTATTTAATCTTATCAACCCAATGTCAGATGGTATCCCAGTATCTGTCACCATAGAGCCTTGTTGTCGTCTTTTTCGTATCTACACCGATGCACTGAGAACGAGTTTCTGGATTGGAGACTGCACCTACCTTTGACCAGGACCTGAAACAAACCCCCTCTTTCTCGAAAGTCTACAGTAAACGAAGTGTCCTGGACTTCTGCTCCCCGCATGAGACATTTTCTTGGCTCCTTTTTCATGCTAGATAGGACTTGCAGGTGGGAGGCTGAAGTTAAAGGGGATGAATGCAATTCTCGTGTGGATGCATGTGCGTGAGCGCATCTGGGCATGTGAGTGTGTGTGTGTGTGAGAGAGAGAGAGAGAGATTTAAGTGAGTGGAAACACAGGTGTAGGGTCTACAGTTTTGGGTGTGTAGATATGTATACGCTCACTCATGACCTATAGGCCTACTTGTCTCCATTTGTGCACTGATACCCACGTAATGACTTCGCACTTAAAGCCGCTCAACCTACACATTTAGTATTGTAAAACCGCAATGTCGTGCTAGAAAACACACGTGATGTAACTCTATGCTGGCAGTTTTCTATTCCTGTAGTGTTCATATAAAGTATATGAAAAGATAATGATAAATATCATATTACGTCACAATATGCTGGCTGATCTCTGTTCCTGTTTTATTTATATAAAGCCTTCATATATAAATATCAAAGAAAGATTTTGTTGAATGTTTTTCTGCAATTTGTTTCGAAAGTAATTCCGTATTATAAAAACTCTGAACTTTATTGTAGCAATTGAGGCAATCATGATTATCCCAAGGATAAGCAGAATGGCGGCGTATCTTGTCGTCTGCCTGTTTGCGATGATGACGTCAGCCCAGAATCAACCAAAGACCTTCACCTTTACACAGACGTCTGACGGTTTCATGATTAGCTTATCGGGTGTTAAGGTGTTTATTTGATTTTTCTTTTGGCATGAATTTTACTTTGCGGAGTTTTTCGGTGAACAGCAACATTTTTTGATTTAAATTTTTTATGAAAACGACTTCGAAAATATTTCATTACGTTCTTTTTCTTCAGCCATTTTATATGTGTTTATTTGAGCCTGAACGTGATACAAAATACTGTACGTTATCTATATTCTGTTGTGTCGTTTAAGCGTACCAGTACTTTGAGCATGAACAATACACTGGATGGTTTTACACCTATTGCTTAATATAAATGAATGCAAAGTAATTTAATGAAAATGTCATTCAAGCTTTCAGAATGTGCAACAAAGAAAAACAATAGCGTATTTTCCACTGCAGGTATTAGAACACTCTAGCCAGTCGCCCATGCTATACATAGGACTCGGGGAGACAAATATCACCACTTTTCACGGCAATTTCTACTTTAACGAATACTTAATAGAAAGAAGAGGTCTGGCGGCTTACGAGGTGATGAGCCTCACTGATATCTCGGTGCAGATTGGTTTTAAAGAAGTAGAATCGCCGGCTTTACTGGTAAAGTAGAATATTTCGTTATTGATGCAGTTGGTAGTTCCAATAATAGTTTCTTCAGACAATATATCAATTCCTTTATTTCAAATACATGAAACTGACCTACAGTATAAAAAGAGTTTGTCGTAACAGAAACGATGAGGCCATAATAATTAACATAATAATAATAACCATTTTATAATAATTTTGTAACAGATTACTACTAGTAGCGCCCCCTGTCGTCAGAGTGAAGGAAAGAGGGAAGGAAGGGATAAACCGTTTAATGTGGCAGTTTAGAAAGTTACTGAGTGAAAGTATATATATATATATATAGCAATGGTAAAACGTACGATATACAGTGTACCTGATGTAACTATTTCAGTTAATGTGCATGGCAGTTCCATTACTTTAATTAAATAAACATGACTTGTGCCATTCGTTTTACTTCTTATTTTCTTTGCGTGAAGTCCAGTTATATCCGGCTAATTCTCAGACCAGTAGCATCACTGACAACAAGGACCTATGTTTTCGTGTTACAGGCTGTCGTTACCATTTCAAGACCCACAACAAGGTCATTTTTAACAATTGAAGCCACAGCTACAGCGCGCACTACTGACCGCATGTGGCTTCGTATTGCAGCGGAAAAAGACGAGCATGTATACGGCGGAGGAGAGCAGTTCAGCCATTTTGATCTGAGGGGACGTAGCTTCCCAATATGGACCAGAGAACAAGGTACTGTAAAAATGTTTAAAGTAAAGGTGTCTTTATTATTAGTGAAAGAATTGCGATAAAAATGTCAAGTCAATCGATAAGAAAAAACAGGTAGATATTTTATACTTGGGGTGTACAAATAAAGCGTACATTTTCAAGATTATTCATGTAAGTCCGTTTACCGATTATATCCTATTTTTTTATCATTTGTGTGTTTTGATAAAACTTGCTGTGATATCAAAATGCAACTTTCCTGGCTTTAAGATATACACGTGTATAGAATACAATATCATGGGGTTATATTCTAGGTGTTGGAAGAAACAAAAGCACCCTCCTTACTTTCCTCGTCGACCAGTACATGAAGGACGCTGGAGGTAACTACCACACCACATACTTCCCGCAGTCAACTTTCTTCAGCTCTCGCAAATTCTGGTGTCACGTGAACGGAAGTAACTACGTCGTCATGGACTTCTCGCACGAGACCTTCCACGAGATTGAAATTCGGGACACGTCGTCGGCGAAAGTGCTCATCAACACAAGCCCCAGCATGTTGGAACTGGTTCAGAGTTTTACAGACTTCAATGGAAGGCCTCCCCCGCTGCCAGACTGGATCCATAATGGCGCCATTTTGGGAGTGCAGGGCGGAACGCAAAAGGTACTAGTAGCCAACATGGCAGGTAAATTAAGACCACATCTTATAAATCGGATGAAGGTGTTAGTAGAATCGCTGATTGTTAAACCAATTATGTATATTTCTATGTTTAGTGTTTTCTTATTCTTCTCTTACGTCCTCTGACTTGATGTCCAATGAGCGCCATTTTTTCATTTACAAATCTCAGTCTCTGTATGTGCTGGTATGACAGCTTGATGTGAAGAATCTAGTCCGCACCTATTGCTCAGCCTGCTCTTGATACCTGTTAAAGTATCGTTTGCGTCCGCACCAGCGTGCCATCAGAAACACTTGCGAGAATCAAAAACTAGATTCTCGCAAGTGAAGGCCTGCAGAAACGCCGTCGAAGGTTAAGTGCCCGATGATTAACCCTATTTCTTGGAGAGCCGCAAGTCGGAGAAACTTTGTAAATGGTTGAGGGAAAATACAATTAAACCTTAAATATAAAATTAATCTTCTAGATGTTGGATTATTATAAACAGGCCACGGCGTCTGGTCTTAAAGTGAGTGGACTGTGGATACAAGACTGGGTAGGACGCCTGACCACATCCTTTGGCGATCGTCTCTTCTGGAACTGGAAGTGGAACCAGACGCTTTATCCAAGTAAGAAAACTGTTTAATGCTTGAATAAAAAACGCTAAATTTGCTGCCAAATGTATGATATGTATGTATCTTTTTAGTTGTGTTTGCAATTGGTGAATCTTTTGAAAATAAACGGAATCTCATTTGGCGTTAGGCATATTTGTGAAGCATTAGTGAAGCACTTTTGGCATTCCAGAAAATAGTTATACTCCAAGTAAGTTGCATTATTTCTCTTTTTTTTTTTTTGTTAAATTCTAAATATAATACATAAATTAACACAGGAGAGCAGAGACTGAGATAATTGTACACTGAAAAACATTAAATCTGTCAAAGGTTCTTTACGCTTAAAAATGTACCGGAAATTTAAAGGAAGCATCCATATGATTTACAGACCTGGACCAAGAAATAATCGCCCTCCGCAGGGACCACGACGTCCATGTTCTCGGCTACATTAACCCCAACATGAACATAGAGGGCGACATGTACAAGGAGGCGGCTGGAAAGGGTTACGTGGTGAAGAACGCCCAGAACGGTCCTCTCCAAGTGAACTTTGGCGACTTTTTCTGTGGAATCGTCGACCTGACCAACCCAGAAGCATTTGAATGGTATAAAAGTAAGAAAATCATGTGTCTTAATTGTGTTGGATGATTTTATGTAAAGAGATTGCTTGTTAACAAACTATTTCGTCATTTATCTAACTGAAGGTGTTCAGCTGGTCGCAGATCTGATGGAAATCCGTTGGCCAGCCGAGGACACTTTGTGGAAGGCCAATTTAGATGATTCTCTATATTGATGTGCTTTGAGAACGTAGTGATAAAAGTGAAATGGTCCCACAGTGGACTCCGCATAACTCAATACCTTATTGCTCGAATTATCAGTTATCTCGAACACATATAGATATGGGATGTCACTTTTTTGGCATTAACCGGAATCAATATGAAAGTTGCATCAGGGCCTACTTAAATTTTTGTGTACCCTGAATATATGTCTTGGTGCCAAAGTGGTCGGATTAGGCAAAGTCAACTGCAAGTCATTTCAAAGAAGATGCTTACGTTATGAGTGAATTCATCTCCACACAGGCGTCATCAAAACCAACATGATCGGTATTGGCTTGGATGGGTGGATGGCGGACTTTGGAGAATACCTACCGACAGATGGCGTTGTTCTCCACAATGGCATGTCGGGAAGGGAGGTCCACAACCTGTGGCCGGTGCTGTGGGCGAAGCTGAACAGGGAAGCCGTGGAGGAGGCGGGAAAGATGGGACAAGTGGTGTACTTCATGCGCGCAGGCGCAGCAGGTACGGATTATTGAACACAGCAGCTGTGACACGCTGAAGCGCAACTACTGCAATGCGTTTCAGACGTGGTTTGGCTAACGCAATATCTATATATGTATATATTATTATTTTGTAAGATTTCTGGTTTATTATATGAGGAACTTTGTTAGCACATTTAGTTTTAATTTGGCACTTGCCCAATCTTCAATTTCTAAAAGTAAATCCTGATGCATAATTGAAAAATTTACAAGATTAAACGACACTGTTAAATTAAATCCTGAAACTGCATTCCAAGTGGGCGGCATTAGAAAAATCAATTTTATTAAAAATGGTATAAAGGAATTTAAAGTAGAAAAAGTAAAATTAACAACACACACAATTATCCTGTTCATTGAGCTTTCAATTAGTCCCTGTTCATTGTACTTTTGATATTACACACTGGATAATCATCTTCATTGCGCTTTCAAGTGGGCCTAGTCCTCATAGAATTGTGAAATCTCACCTAATTGTGCTTTCAAGCATTCTCCATATAATCTTGATATCTCATGCTGGGCATACTTCAGGCACCGCCAAGTACTCCACCCTGATGTGGGCGGGGGACCAAAACGTGGACTTCAGTTACGCTGACGGTCTAGCCTCTACCATCCCCGCCGCCCTCTCCATGGGGGTGAGTGGCATGGGTTTGACCCATTTTGACGTGGGGGGTTACACGGCCATCCCCCTCCCCCCACTGAACCTGGTCAGGACCAAGGAGTTGCTGTTGAGGTCCGCTGAGGCGGCGGTCTTCACGCCCGTGTTTAGGACGCATGAAGGTGGGTGGGTCAGTCCATAGAAAAATAAAAACCGCATACATGTTGAATATTTGCATTATTTCGGCTTAACCTGTCATTTTTGATGTTTTATGAAAGGAATCAGTACTTATCTGGTAAGCGATTTAAAGTAATTATTCAAATATAAGGGTCTACACAAAATGCGAATGTCACTCTCATGACTATATCTATCTTGGATTATTCTGTCGTCCTCTTCTTAAGTCACCATCTCACCAATCGGGGTTTTGTAGCGCGGTTTAGATGAATAAAAGTGCGTTGAAGGTCAGAGGTTTAAAGTAGAATACTGACAAGACTGTATGCAAGTAAGTGAATCTCGGGCAGAGCACTACATAAACCGCAGCACCTTCGCTACCAGCAGGTGGGCCAGCTTTGATATTACTAACTTTTTATATTTTAGGCAATCAACCCAAGTTATGTGCGCAGTTTTATTCCGACCAAGACACACTCAACAAGTTTGCTCGTCTGACAAAGATGTTTTCTGTACTGCAACAATACACCAAACAACTCGTAAATGAAGTCGTCACTTCTGGCACGCCTGCGCAGAGACCACTTTTCTTACATTATCCCGATGATGCGAGGGCATACGAGATTCAGTACCAGTACATGTACGGTAGGGATTTTATAGTTGCACCTGTATTTCTTGAAAACCAGTCACAGTGGAATTTATATCTGCCTGCCGGTAAATGGATATTCTTCTGGAATGGAACGACGGTCACGGGACCAGCTGACGTCACAGTTGACGCACCAATAGGACAAACGCCGGTTTTCTTTCGCTCCGATTCAACATGGACAAATCTTTTCAAAACTGTCGCAGCAATAAAGGAAGGCGATGAATGTAGTAGAGTGTCAACTGGAGATGGTGATTTGCAGACATGTCGGCCTTAACATTTTCGCTGTAGCCTTAGTACGACAATTAACGAGTCCTCTCCCACTACACTACATCACTTGAAATTTTTAATACATGTACTTTTATAAATCCGTTTGACACAAAGAAGGAAAAGCTCTAGGTAAAACACAATTAGGTTTTATTACTTTCGACTTTTTATAATTGAATAAGAGGGAAAAAATTGGACCTAGCTTTAACTAAGTCAATAAATTCACTAGCACATCCAAGCATCTACAATCATAATAACACCATTGATAAATATTTAAACGCGATTTCTTTTTCATTTCATTTGTTTAAGTGTACCGTAAATTATTTCAACATATCAATCCACAATCTGTAACGTAATGGCCAAATTTAACTCCAACCAAATAGTTTTTACTTCTAGTTTTTCTAGTTCGTAGAATTGACAAATGTGGATAGTAGGCCTACTTATAATTATGAATTATTGTAAATAATACCCGAATCCTTACTCTTCCTCCTCGCTGAAACTAGTACGTAAGACGGGACGTAGTTACCATAAGACGCCAACATTTCTGTATGTTCTATCGTGTAGTGATGGTGACTTTCTTAAAATAATTATTATTTTACTGCATTCATCGGCACATGTGATCCTAAAAATATCATTCATGTTTAAAACGCTGTATGTTTTGTTGTTCAACGTTTTTTGCTGTCTTTGATGTTGTTCTACAGTAATATAAGTTGGTCTTCACTGAGCTATGGATGCCAACGTGTATACAGTGTTGCTCTGATTTAATTCTTGGAGAAATCCATCAGGTTGGGAATCTTATTCCTTTGCACCCTGTAAATGGACATAATGACGTCAGTAAAAATGAATAATAAATGCGATATAAGCTAATTATATTTTCATTACAATTTTTCTTAGCTTTAAAACGTTTTCAATGGATTTTTTCAATATAACATTTTATTCAACGTGCAGCAATGAAGGTACCTTTGTATTTTTCACGCATATGCCGACAAAGTCAAAGTTGTACCATTCCACGTCAGCCTTCTCCACCCCAGTCTCTACATTGGAGCAAGTGAGAGCTTTTTCACACCTGAAATAGAACAAAATTATAAATAGTCCAGAAACTGAAGGCTGTACTGTTAAATATATATAATAAGCTTTATTTTCGCAAATACTGTAAATGCATTCTAGGCTAGAAGCCTTTTAAGGTTGAAAAGGCTTAAAAGCTTTATTTACGAAAATAAAGTCTATTATGTATGTAAAAACAGCTCTTAATGAGACATTCATTATAATTCCCTACCTGGGTCTCCAGGCGCCGCACGGCTCCTTCTCCTTGCTGGCGCACACGTCACAACAACCGCATTTCACACGCACTGCCTCGCAATCTGCCGGTAGAGGGCGACACTGCTCCTTTTCCACCTTGGAAACTAGGTTTCCTTTGGCGTCTGTGGAAAGTAAATGAAAATGTAGTGCTCATATCGTAGTATGTTAAACGTTTCATTCTTTGGGCATTTGGCTAAGTCAAAAAAGTAATATTATTAATTTGTAAAATGAAAACGAAATGGCTTTCATCGGTCAAGGGAAAAGTGTTGGCTAGCTAATCTCTCTCTCTCTCTCTCTCTCTCTCTCTCTCTCTCTCTCTCTCTCTCTCTCTCTCTCTCTCGAATGAATTAGGCCTAAATCCGTCGATACAATGTCACGGCCTGAACTTTTCTCGTCTGTCCATTAGTCCCCAGCAGAGTGAGAGAATGTTAACAACTGTGAAACAAGCCATACGACCCAACTAATCTGTCTGCCGTATTCGTGTTTTGCAACTTAACTATTTGGAACTTGTCTTGGCTATAATCTACGCGAAAGCCCCTCTTAAGATGTTAGAGCTGTAAAAACTTTGTATTTTTTACTTCTTAAACGTCAACATAACGTACGATTTTTAAAACCCTTCATTGATTATAGCGTAGAAATCGCTACCATGATGTAACTTAATTAGCTCATTTCAAAAAAAAAAAAAAAAAAAATCATTGTTTAAAGTCTTGTAAAAGAAACGAGAAAAAGAGGGAAACCCTCGACTTTTTATTACTCGCAAGAATGTTTCAGCGAATTGACATTTTCACCTTAGACTTTGCTCCTTCAATCATAGGGATAATCTTACACAACCTGTTATAATACTTGCTGTTTATTTTCCGAAAGAGTGCTCACCGGAAAATTGCTTCGCGTCTAGAGCAAATTAACTTGTTTCTGCAGCTTGCGTTTGATAAATCGATAAATCGAATCTGGGTTTGTTGAAGTCGGGAACTGGCTTGACTCACATCTCGTCACCCTTTAGGAATATGAAGGGCGTATTGGAAAACGTTTGATGCCCCTTCTGCCCCTACTTTTTTAGTCTAACAATGAGCGTTTTTGTTGATTTTTATTTTATTTTATTTTTTCATATTCATCAAGTCCGTTCCATAAACCCATAGTTTGAGATGATACTGGGAACTCGCCTCCATCCCTACTAGTAGAGATGTGGGTTTCCGGTTTCTTATTAAATTCGGGGTAATAATACCAGGACCTATAGAAATAAATAGCAACAATGAACAGACAGTCAGACCCTTAACCTGATGCCTCATTAGTTGAACATGGGGAGGGTAGTCCTTAAATGAACCGACAGCGTCTCCTTTGTCCATTAGGCTGGTGGCACTTAAACCGAAACAACGCCCTAACGTCACAGGTAGCAATAAACGAAACTGCCAGCGTGGAAACTGGAAAAAATGACCAGTAATTGAACAAGGGGTAGTATTTTCGCAGGTTCTACGTTTTACGAGACATAGGATAAAGAAATGTATTGTCTGATATCAAGCAGATTATTAATTTAGTTCCAAATTTCAAAAAGATGATTTTTTTCTGATTTAAATCCATATACATGTACGTACGCCATACTAGAAATAAATTGATGCCACTTATTTGAAGGCTGAATGCAGACATTTCGGTCAGTCGCCAGTTGTATTTTCAAAAGAAAAAAGTCCTAATGGCTCAAATCAAATGAACCTGTCAGTGTCAGCTCCACAGGTAGGTGGTTTGGGGGTGGACTGTAATCAACTGGGGTCAGTATTTGAACAACATTGGTCCAGACGTCTGGACTGTTAACCAGAATGACCACTGAGATTTTTCATTGTAAGAAAACAGCCTTTTCGTAACAATCTCATCGATGACGCGATTTGTTCCTTTATCCAGTCTAAAATCGCCCTAGTCTGAACAGTTGATCGCCATCCTAAGATAAAGAACAGAACACTGTCATTTTAAAGAATTTTGACAAGAAGTTTACCCACTAGCCGCTTATCAATAGTTGTGAGGACATGTCGAACTGGCTAGATTTTGATTTTTCTTGGCTTTAGAATTTGCAATACTTCTACCCGTAACAGAGTATAGATTTTGGTCGTTTTCTGATTAGATTGTGTAAATCTAGGTAAGACGTTTTAAGACAATATGTGTTTCAATTTGTGCTGGTCTCCAGTGAATTGGTATTATATAAAGAGAGCCTCACTGCGTCTGAACAGCGGCGCACTTCGTTAAAAATCGCAAGCTTGAAAAAAAATCGCAAGAGAGCTTCTGCAGATAACGCTTAAGGCTATTGGCATTATTTTATCAAAACAAGCAAGAAAATATTGGATTAAGGCTTCATGCACGAGGCCGAATATAGTGGAATCTGGCAACGGTTATGGAGATTATTATCGAATTTGTTTCTTGACTCACTTGGGTCACGTGTTAGCTTTGAGCTGGACAGCAAAGGTTGCAAAGAAATTTTGGCAATAAAGTGTGTGTGTGTGTGCGTGTGTGCGTGTGCGTGCGTGCGAGAGAGAGAGAGAGAGAGAGGGAGAGAGAGGGAAGGGGAGAAAGAGAGAGAGAAGACAGGGAGAGAGAGAGAGAGAGAGAGAGAGGGGCAGGAAGGGAGAGGTGGAGGAAATTTGTGAAAGTTTTGTATTTGCATGGTTCATTGTGTTTTGGCTGTCTCTCGTGAAAAAATGGTAAAAAGTTAATCGCTCCTTAGGAGACCAAATGAGTTTTTACCTGTGAGACATCACGACCCTTCATCAAATATTCTTGATCATATGACCAAATCGGTTACTTTTATCAATTTTTTTTTCTAGAGATAACATTGATTATAAGTAACACAGATAAGTTCTTCCTCGTAACGCATATTTTCCTTATCAAGCTAATGGAAGACACCCTCGGAGCCATAGTATCGAAATGCATTATCAGGTGTTTCATCGTGAACTTTTCACTGCTAAAAGTGCGCAGGGGCAAACCTAATGACAAACTCAGTGTTAAAGGAACATTTAATACGTTCTTGCTTACGCCGACGGCTTTTTAAACGTGGCAGTCGCGTTCATGAATGACCACTACGCCAACACAAAAATACTACATTTGAAACGCCTATTTTGTTATTTTTTACAGTTTAGTGCGCCTGCCATTAAAACACTGGTTAAACTTTGACTGAACCGTTTGAAATTGATTTTTTTCTCGCAGAAACCTGCCTATACTTATTTGTTATGTCGTGTGTATTCAGAGTCTCAAGACGCGTTTAGTCGTCTTACGAACTGTTAGCGTTTTACATGTAATTACTCAACAAGAAAAAACTCCACATGAATCCATTGTTTTACCTCACGTCAAGTGGAGAGCTGTGCATCATACCGTAAGTGAGTTTGGCTTCAGTCAAAACAGATTTGACGATGAGGTCTAAAAGCGATGAAGAGTTTGACAAGAGCGCTGACCCGGACACGCATGTGGTGTTAGAAACCCAAGATGTGTTTCAGATTTACAACCCTGAGATTTTGATCTTTTGATTTCAGTTAAAAAGAGCTAGGAGAATATGAACTGTTATTACATCTACATCGCACCTGAAAACATCTGCTGAAGAGGATAAAAGTTGCAATGAAAAAAATGTTTGGCGCTCTTCGAAACATCTCGAAAAATGCCAAAGGAACAAAAAAAAAAAAAAAAAAAAAAGCAAAGAAAGAATTGTGACTAAGGCGTACTAGCTGTTTCAAAAAAGCAAAAGAAAATGATTGGGAGATTTGTGAGGAATACGGGTATTGCTCTCCAACGAGAAATGGTGCAAACAATCAGATAATTTTATTTATCAAAATGCAGAGAAAATGTGGCTACTGTTCTCACATTAAGTCCCTATCGAAAAGGCGTTTAATTTCATTCTTTTTTTATGATGAGTGATTCACTGTGTTGAACGAGAGGGCTGGGTGGAGTTAGCGATGATGACGTAGTCGCACCTGCCAAACATCTAGTTCCAGCAAGACTCTTGTTTTACAAGATTTTGTAAGGTCAGGTTTGGAAGTCATTTTTGGAGCTAATAAAAACCGTTTGCTATCTGTTTTCGGTCAAAAATTCGCATATTTTGAAGATTTTTGGCAACTGTTATCTATAACAAATTTACATACCAAGAAATGTGTTAAAATTGAATCGAAGACGAACATCTTAAGAATTTTTCAAGGAACACTAAAAATAATAATGGAATTATCAAAACAGCATTGATCTAAAAGTGAACAAATAAAATCGTTTTACCTGTTCTTCTTGTGAATAACCTCATGGAATTCGCAAGCTATTTGAAATGCATTAAACATTAAACATCTCTTTTCTTTCACATAAGAATCACTCTCTTTGGTAATGTCTTCAATGTCATTTTACTGAATTTAACAGACACACAGCAAGCTCTGGCACATTAACAAGTGTGTGAACCATACAGCTAAGCTCTTACATGTGGATATATACATTTCAAAGTCGGTGACGACTGGTCAGAAAACACAAAGCCCAGAACACGTAAACACCACACGTAACTATACAATTATAGCTTTCCTGCACTCAATTAGCCTAGTATTTAGCTATAATTGCCGGCGTTTTTTGATTTACGATTAGAAAAAAGAGTAATACCTACGCTAAATGTGCTTTTTATCCTGTTGAAGTGAATGATAAGAGGTCATGGTCAGCGGTGTATTCTGAGGGTACATTAAAGGTTTATTAATAAATGGCACATTCCACAAATAATAAAATTGACCAAACACAAGCGCAAAATTTCAAAGAAAGATGTTTATAGATCCAGGTATCCTTGAGTCGGCATTCGTTTTGTTTGTTGCTCTTGTGGTGAGTGGTAAAGCAACTGCGCGGTGGTTTACCTCAGTGCTCAAAAACCGCAAGAGACATTATAGATATATCTAACGCGACCCTCTCCATGTTACAAATAGTAATACCGCATGATATACTACAGTGCTTTTAACAGAAACAAGGTTCATAAGGCTCGTGTTGGAACGCGGCATAGTACAGTGTGTAGGAGAAAAACCTCCCAGCTTGATACATGATATATGTTTTGTGTTCAGTTTTGTCATTTTTTTTTTTTTTGACAAATGATATTTGAATTTTTGCGCAAATGCCAAGAACCCATGCTCGTCTTTAAAAATTAGACAAAAGAAAGACAAAAAGGAAGAAAATAAGAAAGGAAAACGGTTCTGATATTGGTGGTGAAAACGTAATGCAGTAGCATAGTTCGTCTGCAGTGGCCGGGTAATGTCATAATCGTTCTAAAGTTTTCAAAGATCGTTCTAGGGGTACCTTGAATTAAAAGGACTTACCCTGTACGATCGAAATCTGCTCACATGGCTTGCAGTGTACCAGATCAGCGGAATCCTTAGTGAGAATGAAACCGTCAGAAAGCAGGAACAACCCAGCAACCACAACTATTAAGAATAAGGCTCCTGTACTTCGACTCGGTGCCTCCATTGCGCCTACAGACCCCGGAACCAACGCTTCACGCAAATTAACGAAAGGGCGAGACTTCCCTATGTGCTGGCTTCTTCTTCTAGCAGACAAATTCTATTATCTTCCTCCGTCAGGTTGCCAAACTTGAAGCTATCAAAAAACGTCCTTCGATTGGTTAAAGAGGGAAAAGAAAAGTGTTTCAGTTCCTTCGAGAGAAATTCTATTATCTCATGTGCGAGTTGCCAATATAGCAGTTTCAACTGATAGTGCAAATAAAGGAAATTAGCGTTACTGGCAAAGTCTCAATTTTCACGTAATGTCGTCTGCTTTGTTCGATTTGATTGACTGCTAGCGAGTACCTGCTCGGGTTAGGAGAGAAACGCTCATTTTATACAAATTGAACTAACTGGCAGGTTTCACCCATTTCCGAATTGCCCTATCCTAGGTGGAAGAGGGAATAGTTCATTCTCCGAAAACATACAGGACTAAGTTGAGACAGGCCCTGGTTTGCTGTGAGTCATAGGCCAAATTCACACTAGGCACCACTTAGACCGGTTTTGGTCGTGGCCTGAGCCAGCCTAAAGTCTACACGGCGCTTCTATGCAGCGAGTAACAGAGAGAGAAGATGCCTGCTATTAAGTATACAGGAATGGCGATCCGTTCACCGCAAGGTCAAGCAATCAACTAGGATATGTTGCAAGCGTGTTTTATAACTGTTGTTGACCACTTGTGGTAAACCGTGCGGGCTAGAGTGGACGGTTTTCGTAGATTTTGAGGCCCTGTTTCAATGAAAACCCTCAAAACAAACGCAGTCGTTGAGGAGATGGATTAGCGTAAATGGGAGAAGGCAATGGGTTTAATATGCTGTTTTTGTCATTATCATTTCATAAATAATAAAACTGACAATTCCTAATTTCCGTTCCACTCTTCGAAACGCTCAGATTCTGTTGATTATGATTCAAGTCCAATAAAAAAAGAGATCGCCTGCTTTGTTTCCATTCTAACTTCCGCTGATCACCTGATAAAACAGTTCCTGGAGGGCCAGTTTGAGAAAATACACAAGAAACATGCATTTTGATCATTTTCATTGGAGGCTTGGGCATTTCATTTAACCTAGCGCACAATATGCGATCATTTCCTAGATTTAACTGAAGAAAACGCATTTATTTGCTACCAGTAAATACGCCTGTGCACTTCTTGTCTTACGTTATATTACAGTATCATTGAAATAGCGCAGTTGGCTGTTACATAATATACGTTAATTCGAACCACTCGACCCATTTTCCAAAAGTCGTGTTTGCCATGAGACAACACGTACCTGTTAGTTGGAAAATGCACAAGTTTCTTGTCTTGTTACTTAACCTGTGTTACACCTTACGTGTATTCTGCTCATCTCTGACCATGCTTTCGCTTCGTATAATACACTGTGTTATTATTGTTACCAAGAGAACTACTGCTTTTAAGGACTGTGGTACATAGTTCCGGTAAAGACGGGATGTAATGAGGGCTTGGAAAAAATAACTACCTTTAACACGAGCCACAGAGAGATTTACCACCAGAATTTTGCGAAAATTACTGCACTCTGTCTAGCGAAAACGTTTTGCACAGAAATGACGTCATTACCTAGCCAGCCTCTGGCTGAGAGGGTTTTGGTAAAGCCAGAACACGAGGCATGGGAATGTGGTAGCTGAGATTGCAAGTAAGCGGTTTCGACAGGTGCGATGTAAAAATTGTGTTTGTTGGTATTTGTGTTTTGCTGCCGTTTTGCTTAGAAACAAAAGGGGGAACTAGTTTCATTTCAATAAATTTTCTTCAATTAACACCATCACATTAGGGTTAAAGAACCTGTTATTTTGTCTAAAAGAAAATTAAGATAAACTGCAGCAAACTTGAAGCACAAACACATTTATCGTGTTAACTAGTTTGTAATACAGGTACATTTTCCAGAAAAGCAACAAATACAAAAAAGGTTAATCAACAAGTGCATTAATAAGAATAATAATAACAAAAAAGATTTTGCCCTCCATCTTTTAAAAAGGACTTTATAATCGCGCCCACCCTCAGGAAAATAACCACCGGAGGAAACTCAAGAACGCTTCAACAATTTTCCACCCCTTACTACCAAACGTGCACAAAGAGTAGGCATAGTCTGAGCTATATTGCCGAGCAGTGTAGACCACCATGTCACTGGGCTGCCTGTAGTTCTCTGAAAGCTGCCGTCTCTCGGCTGCCAGGAGCTCTGTATGTGGCGTGATGGGGAGACCGGACTTGTAGGCCAAAATGCTCAAAGCAGTCTGATCGTACCTGTGGTTGAAGAGCATGGACCCAGGCGGCGTGATGCACTCCGGTGTTAAAGCGCACGCTTTCAGTGGGAGGAGAATGTCAATGTAAGCACGGCTTCCTCTCACCCATCCTTGTAAGTTGCCGGAATACGAGGGCTTTTTGAGGAATTCCTCTTTGCTGGAAGAAAAATATTTGAAGGTGGCGTTATGAGAGAAGAGCGTCATGTCTTCGTCTTGGCCTTGCACCAAGAAGTGGCCATCTTGGCTCAAATATTTGTCGATTTTTTTCAGCGGCCCACGGACATCGCTTCCTGCGTCTATCCATAAGATTTTACCGTATTTGTCAACGGCATCTTTCATTATCACTGGTTTCCAGGCGTATTCTTTTAACACGCTGACGTGCGCCGGATATTGAGCGAAATCAAATGACAATAAAGTAGTCCAGCACCACTGAGAAATCAAACGTTTTTGAAAATTGGCCAAACCGAGGTCGTAAACCACGATATTCGTCCGCGGTTCCCAGAAATGAATAGACCCGACTAAGTTCCGTAAACCGCCGAAGTAGCCGTCGCTGGCTCCTGTAACCACAGTAAAATTGAGTGTGTCGCTCGGGGGAGACTCTGTCGCCGGATGTGACGCCACTCTTAGTGTTGGTGCCGGAATGTTTTCTCTCGCGTTGGCTGCTGGTTTTTGAATGGATTTTACTCCTGGAAATAGATGGAGTAATATTGTGACATTTCATGATCACCATAGGCCTAACAGATACATACATTATTTCCATTGTAGGCCCCTACCTAATTGTGTATTCAGTTGCCTTATTTAACGTCTGTATTTCTCCTCTACCTATATTTTTGGTTAAAAGTATAATACTATAGGCTGTATACTGGTCCATGCTTTTATACAGTATAATAAGATAATAAATTCACCTTATATGCTAAGTAAAGAAGTGCAGGCTTGTACCTTATTAAACTCAACTTAACATTCTACAGTACATTTGCCGAGAAGACTTGTGTATGGCCTAATTGTTGAAAACGACTACGATTATCTTTTCGCCTGAGCTTCCTAGAACTCATACAATAAAACACCACAGCGTTAATTATTGCTTTCAAGCTAACTTCATTAAAACCTTGCTTCAGCCTAAATTCAATCAATAAGACACTAAAAGATTCCTAATGGTATACAGCTTACGAACAGCAATTTAGAGCGATCGTAATTCAATAGAACGTACTCTTTGTATCTTGTATCGTTTGGAGGGTCGTTTTAGTGCCAAATTTACGAGTCTCCCATGACAGTGATAATTTTATCTGAAGAAGTTATCTGTCGCTAAATCCGAGCATAGACATACACGTGCCATGCCAAAATAGGTACGTCCGTCAAAATAAGAACGTATAGTATGGTGATTAACAAGAATGAAACGCAGCAAAGTTTTAGCTTTTACAGCAATTTTTTTTTTATTTCAAAACATGTCTAAATAATGAATATGGATTTAGAAATAACCACAGTGGGGTAGTAAAACACGAGGGATCCCGTGCTAATGATTTAAATATTACGCTCGCCGTATACTGAGTGCTCAATGTCGCAAATAGACCATCAAAACTGGGGAAAATCATAAAAAATACCTTCTGAACCGTGATGTCTCTCTATTTGTGTTTTGAATTTCAATGTATTATTGTTGTCCCCTTTGAAAATAATTGAACGAAGGTTAATTTAACGCACCATATAGAGAACATCACAGGGTTCATAAAGGGGGAGGGGAGGGGGGGAGCCCAACCAAGCTTTTTTGTCTTCTTAAGAGAGTTTTTTATGGTTCATACATCACCGTTCACCTTGCAAGCATAGAACGTTTTATAACGTTACTATAACGTGACCATAACGTCATTTATGGGATATATAAACGTTAGGGTAGCGTTATAGAATAACGTTCTGTAAATACGCTGGGCACCTTACTACGAGAGACAGCTTAGCCTACTAACCATAGAGTGAGCAGATAGATAGATAGATAGATAGCTAAATAGATAGATAGAACAGCAAATAAAAATAGAAGAATGAATATTACGACAAGCAAACAAACTAACAAATTGGTTATACATTTAATAGTCGGGAGAAGATACCCACCATTTCTTTCATCTGGACGCGGCAGACGCCATAATATCACCAAACATATTAGCGCCAGTAAAGGCAATATGTAAGACTTTCTTAGATATTTATTTAATCGACGTCGAGTAGACATAATGCCGGAAAAGTTTCAGCTGAACCACGTGACCTCTGAGCTCTCTATTCGTGAGATATGTCGCTGTGTTTTCTTGGGGGAAACAGTAGAATGTGTTTTCTCAGACAAAAAGATCTTCCTTTGAGCTGTGACTTCGTTGTCATTTGTTAAGTCACATGTCGAAGAGATTTCATTATTGCGCATTTATTTCCCGTCTGTCTGTATGTTCCTTAATATGGCATGTTAGATGAGTTTTGTCGCTGTGAATGCACGCTGCTTGACCGAAGTTACCCTACGGGGTATCTCAGTCATTACTTCGATATTCCATGTAGCTTCTAGTGGGAAACGTTAAGATATTTCACAATGCCATTATTTTCATCGTCTGTAGGAACCTATACAAATCGATGCACGTCTCTTTCATGTTTGGTCATCCGTTCCTGCGTTCGGTCAATGTTACAATACAAAAGAAGTTGGCGTTTTGTTATCAGTGTGAAAAAAAAAACAGGCTTCACGTTGTGTTGATTGCAGGTGGAATATCTTGTTAACTCTTTGTATTCATCTCTTTTCTCTGTGCCTTAAAAATCTATTCAACGGACTTAGCTATGGAAGAGTGAGATTTATTGACGAAAAATCTACGGTTGGCTGTGTCCACCATGCCCCCGTGACTGCTCATCTTAAATAAAACTGCGTTGATTGTTGCAAACAGTTCTTAACATGTGTAACATCCCTGTGTATCTTTTCAATGCTATGGATCCTCAGAAACAAGCAAAGACAATCATACCCTTCTTCCTCATAGGGAGGTACTCGATTAAGTGTGCGACATATCCATACACATGCTCAACTGTGCTTTTCTTTTTTTATCCCTGTGCCTCTTGCAACATTGCAATCGTTCTGTATATCTTTGGCTTTACACCATGCAAATAAAAGTTTGCTTTTTGCATTTTTGAACAGCAGTTTCGCAGATTGTATACTTGGATTGCCTCGCCACTATTTTGCTTCTTTTTACGGTCACATCACCTGTGTAAATATCTACAATGCGTTTGTCGTGTATTTTAACAGGGTTTGAGGACGGCTTTGTGTACACGACCTACAAACTGAACTGCGGCATTATGTTATAGGTCTAGCAGTTCAATATTCTAATCGGCCTCAAAATTCAATACACCTACTTTTTGTTAACATTTTCTAGATTCTTCTTGTAAAATATATCGATGTCTCTGCTCTTTTTCTGTCTCTTCTATTCACGGTGGCGGAAAGTCGCCTGATGTATGTCTGCTCAGGTAACCCATCGATTTCAGAACTAGCTTCCTTTAAGTAGCACGTAGAGCATACTTTATGGATTGAGAGAGGCAATATTCTATTGTCTACTAGTTTTTTTTTTTAATCTCCAGTCAGCGACAGTGACAGACCTCTTCCTGATTCCGGATATGGTGATTTAATATAGCAAGCTACAAGGTCTAGGAATGTCTTGGGGCCGATTCCACGCATTACCAGACACCTGTGGCGATCTATTAGTAATATTGTTACTGAGCAACAGTTCCAGTGAAGTCATTTCACATACATTAACGCACTCAATGACAGGTGGTCATTCACGTTATTCATCAATTGTGAACAGTTTGTTGAGAGAGAACAGTCATTCCTGTACCACCATCGGCCTTGTTTCCTGTTACTTATAGAGAAGAGAAAACGGAAATGTACTTAACGGGTAGCCCTGAAAGGGAAATCGCTTAACATGCGATAATAATTATTATTATCACCAGCCTTATTACTGCATCTGTTAATGCTTTGATGGATGTGGGGTCCCTCACACGCTCTGCCTTTTTCGTCAATCGAATTAGGCTTCTCGTTCAGGCTGCTTATGGGACCTCTGTCTCTCGTCGTATTTTACTTCTGTTCCTATCTCTGTCTCTTGCGAGGTATATACGCTCGTGTCACACTACATGCGGCGTGGAGGATGTGTCATTTGGTCTTTTAAAGCCCCGTACGCGTCACTGTGGCTTGGCTTGCGCTGTGCTACTGCATGAGTGTTAAAAAAAAAAGTCTAGGTTCCTGGTTACGACTCTGCGTTCACCTCTCTATATAGAATAAAGCGGGAGTGGATAAAATAGCTTTTGTGGCGTTCTTTTGTCCGCTGCAAGGCAGAATATGATCGCAAAGACGTAGCGCTTTTATTTCGCCACTGCAATAAATTGAGCGGTTTCTGTGCCGTAAAATAACACGGGTTATTTAAGTCTGCTATATAAAGCTATATAAATGCTATATAAAGTTTTGCCTCAGTTCCGTGTCATTAACTTGTCAAAGTTTTCGTACTGTTTTTCTTTTCATACGCACTAAAATCCATTTTGAGTAGGTGCAACTACCGAGACATGAAATGAGAGAAATGTGCGTGATTTCATCCCAATGCAGCCCCCTCCTTAGAGACGTATTCCACCCCTTGCGTCAACTCTGCGGATATCGGGTCAACAAAAAGTCACGAGTGTTACTATTAACCGTGCAGAGAAAGCAAGAAACCACTAGGCATACAAACTTCACCGGTATAGTGGTTTTAACAAAGCACGTTTATGTATAAGTCAACAGTCTGGAGATCTTAACGTTATGAACCGCCTCTAATGCTCTTCCAAGTCGCAGAGCACGCCAGACTTCGATTATGTTATATCAAATTATCCAAGACGCAACACCCATTAGTAATGTCGGTCGTTTAGGTTTGATTCTGATAGATACTAATTTCACTACAGCTTAGCCTGTTGTACTTAAAGTCGGCTGTGATCATCCGTAGTTCATCCTGCGTTTTTAAGTGTTCTCGCCATATTTGTCAGACGTGACGGACCAAGCTGTAACGAGACTGTAAATATTAAGATCATTGTAATAGCCTTATGCATGGAGAGTTAAACGGTGTCGTTTCATCCCGTCAGCAGTTAGATATCGACTCTAACTGTGAGTAGGCCGAGAAGGTCAATGCTTCGAACTGCTGTGCTAAAATCTTCGAAGCAGATTCCTTGTGTATTAAATCCAGCTAGAAATATCGTCATCACTTGGTCCTGTCCATAGGCGGCGTACTGCAACTTACCGCTAGGCGTGGCTGGACGCTGCTACCGTCTACGCCGTCTACGTGAACGTGGGAGGGCTACGTATGTCCTTACAGCGTCACGTCAACGTCATAACGACTACAGTACGTGCTGTATACAGGAAAAGGGGGTTAACAGAGACGCTGGTTTTGTGTCCGTCGGCAAAATCGCACAGGTTGCTGAGTGATTGAGCCTTCACCACATTACAATACAGGTGACTGTGCGAAATTCAGTACAATAAAATCAATATAGCAAACACAGCTTTGAACGTTGATAGGGCAGGCCAGTGGGATAAAGTGGAAATAAAAAGAACGTTAATTTCTTTATTATCGGAGCACTGTTTACATTATTTCCATACCACAAAAATAAATGAAGGTCATATATATTACTTACAGAAATTTGCAAGTTAGCTTATTTTTGCCCGATTTTCATACCAGAATGATTACATTAGCTTACGTCAGCTAATACTTGTGTTACTTTGAATTGCAGTCGAATGTATGGAATTCGATTGAAAAGTTACGTGTGAATATCTTTGAATTAGTCCTGCAGTCATCACATTTTTTTCAAGGATATCAAGTATTTCAAGGACACCTTACAAGGTAATTAAAATATAAGGCAAAATCCTAAATATAAGATTTTACGTGGCCTAATGAAGTGAGTAACCCGCTGTCTGTAAAAGGGCAAAAGAACGTCTATATTAATACCCCCACCCCTCCTACCAAGCCTGGGAGTTACAATTTTGCTATCATATGTTTTCCGATGAAATGGTCCAGCGATATAACGTTAACCATTGTCAGAATTTAATGGATATTTTCTGTATCCATTTGTCACAGTCGATATGCAGTGCGAAGATATTTCATAAGCGTTATGTAAAATTAATGTAAAAATGTCATTGTGAATTTAAGCGCGTATTTCTAGATGGAAGTTGATAAAAAGTCCCTCAGTCCTGGGAGAATCATGTCGCCAACCCCTGAGAAGGGGCGCATCCTGGATTATTTGAAGGGGGGGGGGGGGACTGGAACGACAGGCCTCGGATGCGAAGCCGACCATCGTCCTTTTGGTGTGGGGTTCGGGTCCCGCTCAAGGGCCCCGAAAAAGTTCTGGTGTTTTGGAGAGCAAACAGTGCCCTTTGGCACGGTTTAGAACTATGATTTAGCTAGTCAAAATTTTAATTTCAAGACGGAAATATTAGTGTGATATATTTCTCAGAAACCGAAGTGGGGGTCATGACCCCCCCTGGCCTTCCCCCCTCTTAATCCACCACTGCCTGGGTATCACAGTTTTGATACCATTGGCTCATGAAATGGTTCTCTGCATCAGGTCTCTCCTACATGTAGCTGTTACAAACTAGTATGTTGTCTAGGACTTTCAGACATTTTTGTTCATGTAGAAGACCTCTCGAGCTCGAAGAGTGGATTAGTATGGCATTAAAAGCAGCAATTTGGTTTAAGTATCGCTGCTGACCAACTGTTTGCGTACGCATACTTTTACTGCTTCTATACCTGTCCTCTACTTACAATAAATGAAAAAAGATATGAATAAAAAATAAATAAATAGAATAAAATTAATTTGTGAGAATTTTCAAGCAGCCGTCACCCTCTCGTTCGGAGCGCAGACTGGGATTCCCCGATCTTCAGCCAAAGCAGGAGTCAGCGTATCCCCCCTCCTATTTGGCTGGTCGTAATTTTTATCGATTCATGAACATTGTCAAGATCACTTCCCAGTGACATTTCGAGTTACCTTGGCTGTAGGTTTTCACCGGGAGAAAGCATTCAATATTTCAATTCCCATTTCCTTTGGGGTTTGCATTAATAATTGCATCCCATGCCCTGTCATATTTATACAGGCATCGATTCATCTTCGTTTGTTTGTGTCATCACTTTATCCAGCTTTTTTTCTTTGTTGCTGATCAGTTACTGCCATTGAAACATTATGAAACAAAGCTGTTGGTTTGATTCAGTGAGAGAACGAAAGCGAAACCGTCACAATGCAAGACTCAGGCCTCAAGCATGTACGTAAATTTGAAAAACAGCAAACAACTGTTTGCCTTTGAAGATGTCTACAGCTTTCAATTCAGAGAAAAATAGAAGAAAAAATTACAAATAAAGGATTGGCCTTATATTTAGGAAAATGAATTTATAGAAATTAATTTAATATTTTCTTCAGAAGTAGAGCGACTCTCTACAATAACATGATGAAAGAAACAGTTTATCTTAAATCAAAGATCTTAAAATTTTATAACTTATTATACGCACAAGGTTTTCCTAATTATCTCCCGATTTTGCTGTTGGTTGTAAAATTTATCAACAAAAATAATATAATATGATAATATTTTAATAATGTTAATGTATAGTATCAAGTAAAATAATTAAGAAATTATCCAACTCATTTCAATTAATATAAGTATTTTTGTTGTATAAAAAATATCATGATCAAAATTTACAAAGTTCTTAGGGTTTTTTTCCCCAAAATATGCCAGTCTATTTCTGAGACAGCGGAATTTTCTGTTCTTCAGGTTTTTAAGAAGTACAGCATATGTAATATAATATTATATTTTCAAGCTTTTCACAATATTCAATTATTATTATTATTATTATTATTATTATTATTATTATTAATGTCTGCTGTTATAAAAAATGTACAACTGTTGTTAATCACATCATAAACAATACAATAATGATTACAGACAGCTAAAAATGTGAAAAGTATGAATACATGATAGAGGTGACGAGCATGTTGCATGGCAAACAGGCTGGTACTGACTGACACAGTTAAATTTAAAAAGTAGCAGTCTAGTAGAACAGCACTATATCAGCTCTAAAAGTCAATAGTAGTTTTTAACAGTCAGTTAAGAAACAGTGGAACATCAGCTGAAGTATTCCAGACTAGCTTTGGCCTTTTCCATCTCATGAAGGAAGGAATAAAACTGAGGCAGGGTCAGCTCTGAAACAAAAATAGATAATGCAAAAATAATTATCATTTATTATTGAACAAAAGGGAAATAAAAAAGAAAAAAAATTATAAATGTTCTCACATGAATCATAACACTGGCTGCAGATAGTTCCCTTTTAAATAAAACACATCATTCCAGTTTACAAGTCGAGAATTTGATGCACTACCCTAAACACAATTCAATAAACAACTTATATAGAGACATAGAGTCATTTCAAGTAAATAGCGTATACACCTAAACCCTTTGGGACAGTCTAAATGACTTCCGCAATATTACGTTTCTACTTTACAATCTCCATATAAATAGGAGTGTTTTGAAAAAGTTACAAATACCAGTGCATTCTTCTGTTGAAGTATCAAAATCAATGCCTCTGCTACAGTGACAGATCTTTTCAAAAAATTTTTGTTTCACTTCATTCCCAAACTGTGGCAATCAGTTACACACAACTTACCCATATATACATTCTCTGTTTTGTTTCCTTTATTAACCACCAACTTGAGCTGAATGAAAGTGTTTCCAACCTGGTTTAGTTCACTGCTGGCGGCTGTCACTGGGAATTATAAGATTTGAAATGAAATAATCCCCCACTAGAAAAACACTCAAAGAGCACAGACCACTGCAAAAGCAGATACTTATTATTTTGAATTATTGAATGTATGGATCACCACCAAAATCTAATCAGTTTTAAGTTAGTTAAAATACAATATCCAAACACCTAGATTTTGTGATAAAATTTCAGAATACGTTCAACTCATATAAATAGACTAATAAATAAATAAACAAAATAAATAGATAAATAAATCTCTTACCCCCAAACTTCCACTCCATGTCCAGTAGTTGGTTGACCATCAGTGTCTGACCTAAGGCTGTCCTTGAGAGGGCCAAGAGGTTTTGTTGCCACTGTGAACAGAACAAGTGATATCAGTTTAAAATGTTACAATGTGGCATATTATATTTGTATCCGCAAGATATATTTGTATCCGTTAAGATACATACAAACTTTGGGAATTTGTCTGCCACTTGGAATAATCTATAGTATGATACTGTGTTTAAAAGAATTAAGAATATTGTTGACATTAAACAGCATTCCTCTGCAACATACATGTAGTAAAAAATTCATAACTTAACACTGGATGCTGATTGAAGATTTAAATAGTTAGGCTTTTTAATAAATTTGATTTCTCTACCTGCTCAGCAAAATAGGTTGACTTTTCTTCTGCTAAACCTAGAATAAACAATTTCAGATTTTGTGAAAAAAAAACATAAAAAGTCAAGATAAGTGTGTGTGTGTGTGTGTGTGTGTGTGTGTGTGAGAGAGAGGGAGAGAGAGAGGGAGACTATCCTGAATCTCTGACGAAACTGAGTGTATCTGAATGAATGATTTTTTAGTATGAAAAAATAGGAGAAACATTTCTTAATTTGAGTATCCGATGCATCCTTTATTTCTACAAAGTTAACCCAAGTGCACAAAATTATATACTTCTCAACTAACATGTTTCACATGTTAAGACCTTTCCCTTAATCGGTAAGTAAAACTTACCTAAAGTTAAAAAATCTTCCTTTAACTGTGTTGGTCCTAGATTCTTCCGTAGTGCACCTGTTACATGTATACAGTAAATCATTAGTCTCTAATATTATAACAGGGTTTATTTGTAATGTAAATATAAATGTTATACGTTTTGAAACATAAACAATAATTTTGTGAGATTTTTAAAAAATCTCATCTTGGATCTAAAATGTCAATATGGCATAAAGATGTAATACTACTGTACGTAACAGTAGAAAGTATAAAAGGACTCACTGCACACTCACTGTTTGGAATTGTCAGTAAACTTTTGATGACATTTTTCAAAGCTGCAGCACTAACTCCATGTTGCGATGAAAATTCTTCCAACTGTTCGATAAGTCTGCTGGACTGTCAAAGATGAGCAAATTAAAATAAAAATAACAGACATAAATGACATACAAAACTGATCAAAAATATTATTTAATGATAACTAGTCTATGAAGTTAATATAAACATTTTTATGACCAAGTCACCCCCTTTTACTTAATAATTCAAATATTCTAATATTTCAATAACTATAAAGGGCAATGTCCTCTTACATGGGAAATAATTAAAGAACATTGTGTTACCAGTTGCATTAAAGAAATTGGAGCATGTAAAGTTAATGCACTCAGTTTAAATGTGATATCAACCATCATACAGTGAATAAAATAAAATAAATAAATTACCTTATTTGGTTCTAGTAGAAACTGGAACACAATCTGAACCAGTTGGGTAAATTGCTGAAAGTATAAACAAAAGATTGCTGATTCTTAGAGTATTAAATTGGCATTAGAAGCAGTAATTTCTACCTGATCATCCAACCCTGGTGTAAACAACAATGATACTGATAGCACAGCCAGTACATATCAGAAACCGCAAACAGGAGTGCTACAGCATGAGCTTTGTGCTATGATACTGTCAGTCACACTGCAGTCTTCCAAAAATGTTAACTTTGAGTATAATTCGTACGAAGTGTCAGTGAAATCAAAAGGAAGGATGATATATAAATCATACACAAAATCAACCCAATACTTAAGAAACAACGTGTTTAAACGGTTTTCTAATCATATTGGAAATCACAACAACTCACCTCATCGTTAAATTTATTCAGAGTTTGTATTTCTGCAAACATTGAATCAGGAGGAGGATCTTTCGTGAAGTGGAAGGAGGTCGCCATTTTGGAGATCATGTGACTTTGGTGAGACGCAGAGGCAAATGTGTTAGTTGAGATATGTTTGGTGTAGATCTACATGCGCAATGCCGGTCAATACATTTAACTTATTTATTATGTTTATTATGCACAGTTAACTCAAGCACATAGTTCGTGGCTAACTGCTTATTTACAAAAACAAAATAATAACAATTAAAAAATAAAATAAGATAAAATGAAAAATAAAATATTTTTAATTGAGAAGATGTGCACCTTTGAAATGAGAATATTTGTAACCCAAGGCTAATGATAAGCCTACTATGAAGCCTACTCAAGATTTGTATGCCAAAGTTGCTCTTTTGGCCAAGACTTACTACTGAGCCCGACTTAGTACAATATTCTTCATTCACTTTACATTTCCATTCGCTGTTTTTGTTCAGAAACAAAACGAACGCAACACTTACATTGTGTAACGGTATAGGCCTATTGTTCTTTATAACTAAAAAGTGACTGAAGGAAAAGTCACTTAGACCAATATTAGGACTGTGCCACGCAGCACTATTATTTGCATTCTTTGCGCCTTGTTTAATTATTCAACATAACAAATTGTGCAATACTGCTCAACACATCAAACCTATTCATTTTGCTGCCAGTTTCCCCAAGAAAAATAACCACCCAATGTACACCTCAATGTACGATGCAATTTGATAATATACAGTCTATTCCATTAATATCTCACCCTAGTGAACCCAACTTGACAGTTTATAGCAAACAAGTGAACCATGACGTACTACCTATATGCGAACGCTCAAGTCACATGCTATTTAACCATGGCGGTTAATGCCCCTATACAGGTAAGCAGTGCACCGTGGCATTTATACATAGGCTTAGCATTTAATTAATTGCATTTGGCACATTTAGCAAACAGCACGCGGGACGCATGCACTAGTCTTTGTTATAGATATACCTGGCACTAAACTTGCACGTGGCACGTATTCTTTTAGTACTTCTGAACGATTAGATAATGAACAAACGAATAAACAAGCAATCAAATAAATAGATAAATAAATGAATAAACGAAAGTAGGGTTTTTGCTTATCATAATTATTTTTTCATTTTTCAGATGTACCCTTTAAGACATCAATGCTCGCTTTAGCCTGTAATTCTATCTTTATCATTTTAATACAAAAAGCATAACAATTATAGGGGACAAAATAACACCTGTACCCACAAATTATGTTTTAAGAATAAATAATAATAATAATAATACAAAGATAACACGCAGAAGTTGGGTCATCCCCCATTATCTCCTGTATCTCTGGGTCCGCCATTAAATATTACACCTATGGGACATTTGTCTTCATGTTATGGATGAACGCTGGTCAAATGTTTTATCTTTGTCGGTGAAAACGTGCCAATTTGTCACGAGCTGACCATTCTGGAGTGCAGCATTGTCACACGATATATCATTGACTCTCGACTAGGGGTCTCACTATATGTGTCACACTCGCGGATATGGCCGTCTGACATTATTTCAACTGTGCGACAGCCTCTGAAAATAACAAAGACCATTTGCTCTTCAAAATAAAGCCCAGAAACTGCTAATTATTATTTTTTCGGTTAAATATATTTTTCGTTGTCTCTTTCGTAGCCCCCTCCTTATGATAGTAAAAAAGAAAAGTAAAGCAACTCTAAAAATAAAGGGCGAGGTAAGGGACGAAGCGTCATGCTCCCCTCCTGTAGATCCAGCAGGCAAAAAAAAAAAAAAAAAAAAAAAAAAGCGCATTTTATACCATCTTATTTTCATCTTCAAATATGCCCAGCCGTCACAAGCTTCTTTGATTAATTGGAGTGGACAATAAATGTTGGGCCATGTCAACTAAACAGCGCAATAAAATATTTAGTTGGCAGTCCTCCAGGGCGATGTGCTAGACCTATTGTTGATTTCGATGCGTATCAAGGTGAGGAAAACAACTTTTACGAGAAGAATTAGAGCTCAAAATCATATGAAACAGCTTGTTTATCTCTAACAGCTAGGTTAAGGTGCATTGAACTTCAGATGAATCAGTAAATAATACGAAATGACGTTATTCAACACATGTCAAAGATGCTTGAACTTTTCCAACGGCAAATATTGACGTTTCTTCAAGCTCACAAACGAAATTGCGTTAGTTGCGCGAGATAGATGCGTTGTGCAGATCACCTACCTGCGCGCGAAAAAATAACTATCAATCATAAATGAAAGATAAAAGTTTAGAATACTTCAAATCAAGTTTGAATATTTTCACTGGAATAATGTATATAAAGGAAATTTTAATTGAGATGAACGAGCGTTTTGGTGGCAAAGATAAAAATAGGATATCATTACGCAGTATGGGAACTACTTCCATTACTCCTACCAGGCCACAGAGGAAGACGGCCGCCATGATAACAGACTAGTAGGTGTTCGCGTTTCGCCTGGGATTTTCCATATTTCCTGAGACCGAAACTGCCTGTGATCCTACCAGTCTTCATTATAAAGAAACAGGAAACTTCATGATGTAACAGTCGTCAAGGTAAAAGAAACTGAACTATTAACATTATTGGGATAAAACCCGGAAGTGCTTGCGCTGGTCAGGCTCTTTTTCGAAGCCGAATTTCCACCGAATTCGATGTCAGTAAACTAGTCATACTTGAATGACAGTGTCAACGTTAAGCTGGTATCTTAAGGGCAAGTACACAAGTACATCAACAGAGATGGTGGATTAATTACGGCTCTCTTCAAACCATCTTGCCGGAGTCTGGAATCCACGTAAAATTTGACAGCCAAATATCCTGTTAATTCAGTGCAACAGGCGGCGTGAGGGTGCTTATGATGTGGACTTTGCCATGGTCAAGCTAATGAGTAATCGCTTTAAGTATTTCAGTCTTCCAATTATTAATCTATATGACATAGCAGTATACGGGCAGTCTGCTATGAAGCAACAGACATGTCGGCAGCTCGGCTCTTGACCTATCAGATATAAATTGTTGGCTGTTGAAAATAGAAGCTCCTGGCTTTATAGAAGCTAGCTGCACCTGGCAGAGAGAGAAAGAGTGAAAGAGCAGTGTACAATATGAGCAAAGGTAAGCACAGCATTCCAAATGGGAAAGCCACAGAGAATGAACTTATTGAAGCACAGAAGAAGGAGGAAAGTTCCAGCAGTACGCCTAAGAAAAGTAGATTTAGTTTTGCATCAAAGCGATCACGATCGCCACGCAATACGGCCAAGTCTTCTTCAGTGGAACACTTGGCGGATGGAAGAAGCAGCCCAAAAAATGTTCAGAAAACTAAACCAAGTAAACCGACTTTTTGGAAGTCCATGGGAGGTCGCCTGACATCTCATCACGGGCAATACAAAGTGAGCGCAGATAAAGGTGGAAATGATCATGGGGATAAGGGGGTTTGTCAGCATTACAAGTCTTCCTCCCCGACTATTTCCAAAGACAAACCTACTGTGAAAACAAAAGGAGGCAAAATGGCAGAAGACCCCAATAAAGTTGTCTTGGGTAGTGGGAGCAGTAGTAAACAAAGTGTTACCGAGCGAAAGAAGGAGGAAAGTCTCCGCTCTATGGTAACTGAAGTGATAGACTCTGAGGAAGGAAAGTCCAAGGGAGCTGGCAGTGATACAGTTTCCAGTAGAACCAGGCACAGCAGTGAGCCAGCTCTACTGGGCGTGAATGGAGATAGTGGTAAACATGAGACTTTGAAACCATCAGTTGTGCCCGATACCAAAGTAAGCACTCCTGATGATAAAAGTAAACTTGAAGCAAGGACTAAAGGCACAAATGCTAATAATGCCAAGCCTGCTTTGAGAGTAGCTAATCAGACGGCAAGTAGTGCCGTTGCGAGTAAAGGAAAACGTGTGACGATACATGAAGAAACGACTGAAATAAATATCAATGATGAAGCTATAAGTGCAATTAATAAGGAATTGAAGGAACCAATTCCAGATGACAGTATTACGATAAAGGCAAGCGTCAGCCAAAAAGAAACTGTTAGTGCTTCTGCCAGTGAAACCAGTTTACAAGGGAACTTGCAGACGCACCTGTCCGAGCTCATCCAGAAAGAAGGCAGTGAAAAGACAGAAAAAGAGGAAGAAGGCGAACAAGCAGTGGGGACGTCACCGACTGGCCGATTTCTTAAATTTGACATAGAGATTGGCCGTGGGTCGTTCAAGACTGTGTTCAAGGGGTTGGATACAGAGACTGGAGTAGCTGTTGCTTGGTGTGAGCTCCAGGTAAGACAACTTACGTAAAGTGTATTCTAGGAGCTAGCTGTCCTGTAATGCTCTACTTACCTTTGATATTTTGTTGTGGTGACAAGGGAGCGTATGTGGTTTTGTAGATAGAATATTTGCTGTATTGTATGTGGTCTGTGTGAACGGAAGTATGACTGTCACATTCAGATAGGATAAATATTTTAATGATTAGAAATTTCTTTAGCAGTTTTTTAATGTGTTAGATTTTAGTATTGAGAACAGTGATGATTTTTAGGCTTAAAAAAGACCTGCTAGTTTCTTTGGCTTTTATATTATCCCTCCTTTGAAAAGACCTCTGATTTCAATAGTTGTTTAAACATTACGGCCAAAAATTTTAGTTAACTGGCCCCTGATAGATTTACTCTATAATGAGAATTTTCTGTTCCACAAAAAGTAACAACCATTTTAACATTATTCTTTTTTTACATTGCAAGAAACATGGTTTTTTATTTTATTGTCTTCATGTCATATTTATTCTAGTTCAGTGTAGACTTAAGTTATTTTTTCTATTTGAAAAATTAACTATATACTGAAGTGTCATGGCATGTTTGCCCATCAGATTGTAGTGGCTTTGCTAGCTCTTTTGATTATGACACATAATTTATTAATCTATAACCATGTAACAAATGCAATATATTTACACATATTTGTAACATAGGGGGTTGGTGTATTAGGTTGAGTTGTGAGACCTCCTCTGCAATGATCATCAATCAGATCCTATGTCCACCCCATTCCAACAAGTTAGCAGACTATAACTGTCAAAAGAAATATGTGAAAAGTTCACAAAAGCCTCCACAAGTCCTTTTTTATCTGCCAGTCCAGCTGAAACGATGTCTGTGTCCTGCGTCCCTCTAGAGGTTTCCTCTTTCTCAAAGTGCTCTGTTGATCAAATTCTTCAGCCTAATAGCACTCAGATCAAATCAGTGGGGGTGTATAGGGTTTTTGGTCTTCTTGCTTTTGCTTGGAGCTTATCAAATTTTTGGACAAATTCCATGCCATGTGTGGTCAGTCACTGGTCAGTGCTGCATTGTTTACACAGTCAATACACAGTTGTATAATTCATTGGGTCAGTTGTCAAAGTGGTCCGTTTTGTTCAATCAGGCCTGGATGGGACGGCAGTATGAGTGCAGGGACGGCAGTGTGAGTGCAGGGACGGGACAGGGGGTCTGTAGCGGCAGTGTTTTCCTTTTCTGCCTTAGACAATTAAACATGATAAAAAATGTGATGGGACTTGAAAGTCCTGTGAGAACCAAATTAGCTACCGAGTACAAGTTTTTCTCTTCTATATTATTTAGGATGACATGCTGCCTGTTTATTTGTTTTCCTCTTTCATTCTGGACATTGTACAAAGTAGAGCTGTTTTCATACACTGGTTATTAAAATGTCATGAACTTTGCTCATATACTGAAAATGTCATGTCATGCCCTTGACAACACTGACACTTTTCAATACATTTAACAAAAACAGTTTTTTGTATTGTGCTTTAACTTCTTGTAGAAACCTTACTGTATTTAAGGGCCTTTTAAGTATTTATTGTTTTAGTACAATTTATAATAATAAGAGTCTGGGTTAGTAATAACTGAACTACTGGTATCTCTTTGTTGGGGTTAGTCAATGATGAAGGCTTTTTACAGGCTTTCCTTAGATTTTGAATTTAGGGTTCATTTCAGTTGTCACTTTAAAATAAAAATGTTGATAATTTTTAAATCACTATTTGAAAAAGAGAAAAATGTTTCTGAAAGCAGTGGAAGTTTCCTATTTCTGTATTGTTTGTAAACTCTGTTATGTCAAAGCATTTTCTGACCGGAACTTCAGCTTATTATCAATAATAAAATTTGGATAACCTATGTAAAAGTTCAGAAAGCTCCATGTTCATTGCATGACATATTTTAACACGCCATATGATGTGTTTGTCTAATTTACTTGAAACCTGAACTTATGTACAGATTATATAAGGGTGAAAGCTGTTCGTCTGACATTAGAACGCCCAGTAAAATGATTTTGTTTGGGCACCAGATGTGAGCTTTTTTTAGGGAGATGTTCGCTGGGGAATTGAAGCTTCTTTACAGGACTAGCTCAATAATTTCTTGGGAGTCGTATTGTTCGTAACACAGATGTGTGACAGTTTGCTTGTGTTTATTTTAAAATTATCTGACGGTATTGATCATATTATTCCTACTCTAAACACGTAGGTGGGAATTCCATCTCAGTTTAATAACTGGATTATAGAATAGCATGGCTAATGATGGATTTTTCTGTGTCAGCTTCCATTCCTGAATGTTTTTACGGAATGAAACTGATATATTTTCTTTTTTCAGGAAAAGTCATGGAAAGTGTCTGTTTGAATAAAGATGTTAGAAAATCTATGCTGGTAATAGTACACTTTACTTTTATCAATTATACAAGGAAATGTACATACATAACATGAGTATGGATTGTTGTAAAAAGTCAGCTTCATTCCTGTTTAACAGCAATCTCCTCGATATATATTTGAAGTCCATCTTCATCTTCCCCCACTTAATGACAGTTAAATTAGCATTAGAATGCAGCAGGAATGTGGAGGGTTTCCTCACTCACCACATACCCTTGTGTTGTGTGATATAAGGGATAGGTAGCTGTTATCATTGGGGATTTTTGTGGTTGGTTCTTCTTAGTAAAAAAAGAAAATTGAAATTGGGTAAATAAAAAAGGGACCTTCTTCATGCCATTGTTTGTTATGAACATGGCACTGGTCAGTACCCTCAACTTTAACTGGTCGTCTTTTCTCCATTTGGTGTTTGTTAAGGTGGGGGGGGGGGGGGTTAAAGGTAAATTTATTATTTTTATAAAAGATGATAATTATGTTAATTTTAACTATTAATTAATTATTATAATTGCTGTTTACAGTTTTTGTTGTGATGTTGTCAGTCAAATTGAATTTCATTTGTCATTACATTGTGTGCAGTAAATGTTATGGAAATCACTAGTTGGATTAAGACTGGCTCATATTTTACTTAATGTTATACTTAAACCTGGCTTCTCCACCTGATAACAATGTTTAATTTTTATGCAAATGGTTGATGACAATTTTTATTCCAAAGGTTGTACATATTAATCTCTCATACATGTCTTCTTTGCTCTTAAATCTGTAGGGAGATCTGAATTCTCATATTAAATAATATAGTACAAGATATTATATGTATATAGGCATGGAACTTAATGTCTAGGACTGCTGGAGAGTGGAGGGATGTACCTGTAGGCGACATAAAAGGCTGAAGTCAGATTACCCACCTAGAGATAAATGGACTCTATTGATATTATCATGGGAAGTTGTCACACTTTGAATCACTTTCCCTATTCAATGTCAGATGGATGGCAGACATATATGTCATCCTCAACGGTCTGGGGACCAGACTGAAGGAATTTCAAACTGAAGGATTTGGGTGCTTTGCGTGATGAAGTGAGAAGGGTGTACTGGAGTACATTAGCGTGTGAAGATCCAGTCTGTTGTTGTGTTTGTAGATATAAATATATTTGCCATATTGCATGGTTCATGCCATCTTCAGATTTTTTCCCGAACACATCCTTAGGGTAAATTAATGTGTTCTTGAAGAAAAAATTACTTTTTTGCCAGATTCTTATTGATTTTTGTTCAGAACATTTTAGTAGATTGTCTAGAGGAATAAGATGTAGATGGAGTCAGTTCAGTGGTGTGTTAAACTGAAACATGGCTGGCTGGTTGAGCAGTATTGTTGGATGTTAGTTTTGTTGGATTTGAAATTAGCTTTATTAAGTGCATCTTGGTCATCTGGTGCTTATTTCAACTTTGTTTCTGGGCTCAACAGAAATTCCATCTAGCCTTGCAATGTAAGGAATGAGGCTTACAATTAGTTACTTTGTAAGTGAGTTTGTTTTACATTATCCCTCATGTATGTGAGTCGCTTGTAAATACTTGTTAAATCTGGAGAGAGAAAGAGAGAGAGAGAACTTGTAAATAGTCATAAACTGTTTGTGTGTGTGTGTGTGTGTGTGTGTGCGTGTGTGTGTGTGAAAGATAGAGAGAGACTCATAGACGGTTTATTTTTTGTCTGCCTGCTTGAACTATTAAAGGGATAATAACTCTTCGTATGAGACCTATATTTCACGATAAAAACCTTGTGAATAACTCATAGAAATATAATATATTCTGTTTTACCACAAAAACAGCAGTTATAGCTTTTATTCTGATATTTGAACTTGTCTTTAGACCACGTGACCTCCATTGATGTCTATACTCTGTTAAAATCTCTTAAGAGATTTTAACAAAAAAAACAAACTTTTTAGAAAAAAACCAGGGACTAACTTTGAATGTAAAAATGGATTCAATAACCATTGGTAAGTATGGAAAAATTGTTGTTTACTCCAGGAAAATTCATTTTTTGGCCGAAACGAAGAGTTATTATTGCTTTAAGAAGCCATTCAGTCTACCTTATGTGATAAAATGTTAGCCACATATCCAGTATCTACATTGTCTGGGGTCATGTGTCAGTTACAGTAGGGTTGTAAGTGATGGGGCTGANCCACATATCCAGTATCTACATTGTCTGGGGTCATGTGTCAGTTACAGTAGGGTTGTAAGTGATGGGCCTGATAGGCTGATGATCCATGAAGTCTGTTATATAGCATTTACACACCATGAACAGGATTGCACTGAGTGGGAACCAGGTGACCAAGCTTGTTTGTGTTATGGGTTTAAAACCAAGAAGGAGTTGTTATCAGGCTGAAGTGCTTCCCCTGACAGTAACATATTTCCTGGAAGCCTGTGATTGCTTTTCAATTGCCTAAACAATGTGCTACGCCAAGCCAAACTTGCCTTTGATCAGCTTGTGTGTGTGACTGCAGCTAATGATTCCCTCCACCACACAGGTTCTGATCAATATGTTCTGGTATTTGTATGCAATTGCTCAGCTCCTGGCTGTGGTTGTAGAGGCAATTCCAGGCAGGTGCAGAACCTATTGGCT